GAAATAACTGTTCTGAAACAGCCCTACAGTGGAAAGATTAATTTTTTTCTTTTACATCCGTTAAACTTTTTCTCATAATGTAGTGTTTTTAAAACAAACAAGCAAGCACTAAAAGCCATAACATAATGTGCTGGGTGCTTAAGGATTTCTTTGTAAAAATGGATGTGTGGGTCTGTGTGCTTGGTCTGCCTGGGATGGAGTTAATTTCCTCTATAGCTGCTGGTATGGTGCTGTGTTTTGAATTTGTGACCAAAACAATGCTGGTAACACACCCATGTTTCAGCTGTAGCTGAGCAGTTTGCACTGTGTCAGGGCCCCCAGTGAGCAGACTGGGGATGTGCAATAGGCTGGGAGGAGATACAACGAGGCAGAAGACCCACACTAACCAAAATATATTCCACAGCATTTAACATCATGCTCAGAAATGAAAAGGGAAAAGAGAGAGTTCTAGGGAGTTACCCATCTTTTGTTCAGGAGCTGCCTGGGCACTGGTTTGCCCTTGGGAGATGGTGAATGTTTGTCTTTGCATCACTTGCTTTGGTTTCTTTCTCTCCTCTTCTTCACTTATTAAACAATTTTTATCTTAATCCACCATTTTTGTTGCTTTTACTCTTCCTTTCGTCTTCCCTTGTCCCTCTGGGTAGCTTGGGGGAGCAGGGAGCAAGCAAGCAAGCAGTTGTGTGGTGCGTAGCTGCCTCTCAGGGTTAACCCACAACAGTCTCCTAAGGACGTATTCCCATAATGTGAATTAGTTTACAAGTCATGGATGCCAGTCCTGACTTCTGTGTTGCAAAAGAACTTTGGGCTTTTAGCATTTCTGGAAATTGTACGGAGCTCTTCCACATGACATGGTGTGTTCTGGTTTTGTATGCAGCATATTAATAATATTCCATAGACCCAAGAGTAAAAACGTAAGCAAATTATAGGATCCAAGTGAAGTATTGCAAGCGAGACTGTTGATTGTAGTACTTTCATATCAAACAACACAATATACTCTTATACATATGCCAGCTACATGAGTCCTTAAATAGTGCTGGCTTTCTAGTGCCTTGTCCATTTACTGTTTGACATTTTTTTATTATTTATTATAATTAAAAATAATCATGAAGTGTTAACTTTCTCACCATGCTAAAATCTGATAAGGCCTTTCAGTGTTAGTCTGTCTCTCTTGCTGTGTAGATGTAGAAAACAATCCTAAAGCTGTGAACTTGCAAGCCTGTAGTCACAGTGGGTTTGTCCACAGCAATCTACATTTGCATTCCTACTAGATGCAGTAAGGTTTTCTCTATAGACCCATGTCACCGAGGAATTCAGCAAGAAACAAGAAATCTTCAGTCAGAGAAGGGCCACAAGTGTGTGAAAAACTAGCCACACATAAACAGTAAAGGTCATTAACAGGCTCCTAAATTCCTGGCTAGGAATTGGTTTTTTGGATCATTAACGGTAAAAAGCCTAGGAAATGAATAGGACTCAGTGTCCTATTAAAAATTAGCCAGAACAATTAAAAGGTTTTCCGATTTCTAATGGGAACCAGACCTAATAGCTTGTTTTCCCTTGTGTAATGTGCTTTTTCTCCCTTTTGAATTACATTAATTTTATGTCATGGTATTTTTAAAGAAATATCTTGAAGTATTTTTTCTATATAGGAGTTGTAAATTATTTACAGTGAGGGCAGAGAAAGCTTGGGAGAAGTTGAATCTAATGTCTCCCTGAGACTGTTACTGATTCTACGTCTTGTGATTCTTACCTGTGACAGGAATTCTTCTGGTGTGTGCAAATGTAGACTTTGCAGACTCCTAATACAGTTACTGTATTATGCGAGCCCACGAGTTGAAGTGCTCATTTGTTTGCAAATGCACAGCCTTTTTTGGTGTGAGGTGTCTCTCTTTAGGGTATTATGTGTTTCCCTAAACACAGTTTTCTGATTTCAACAGCAGCCTTACTGCTTTCATTTCAAGATTAATTTCTTGCTGCTCAGTGCATGACTGAGGGCTATTTAAGAGCTATGTTCTCATCTACTTTATAATTTTCCTTAACCCTGAAATGACTTTGGCACAACAAAAATGCCAAGAGTGAACCTTTATTATATTAAAACGTAATTTTTGGAGAGGTATGTTAAATACTTTCTGTTTCCTTATCTTTGCATCCTTGCAAGCCACTGTTACAAATCAATCCAAAGATAGGAAGATATAAAGAAAGAACAAGAATGACCCATCTTTTATGTTGTATGCTTTGCCTGCAGGAGGAAAACAAGTCCACAAATTACCAAATTTTTTCACTCTGTAGCTGTTATGCTTCTTTCCCTCCTCATTCACCTTAGGCTACAGATCTCCCCACCTAGCCCTTGGGTAATAATCAAGGTAATCTATAAGCTAATTGTCAATAGATTTTTCCTGAAAGGAAAAAAAGGAAAAATTAAATTTGGACAAGGAAAATAAGATTACAGATAAATGGAATGGAGATAGGGGGAATAAGAGGACAAAAGAAAGGCAGAACAAGATGATCGTCTTCACAATGTTAATTTGTACTCAGTTGTTCATTTACACCAGATGCAGAATTCCTGTTTTGCCCTGTTCTTAACATAAAATTAGCTCCAAATATTTTTGGCCAAGAGTTTTGAAATATGTTCATATAGAAGCACACACTTAAAAACATGTGGGAATCCATGTGGGTTTGAAGATGTGAGAATCTTCTGTGGTACAAATATAGTTATGTTGATGTAGCACAATATTCTCTCTGTGGATATGCTCTGGATGCAGCTGTGCTTCCAGAAGTGGTATAACTGTGCTACTGCGGTGCTCTCCGAGTGAATGCATCTTGTTATAGCAAGTCCATCCTCATAACAACTACTTGTAAACAGACATTGTCTTGCAAGTTAAAATACTCCTTCAAGAAATGTAAGGAATTAAGCATGGGATAGTAGCTTAGGTTGAGAGTGAAAATTTGAAAAATTCCATGCTTCGTTTTTGATCAGTCATGTGTTTTGCTACTAATTGTTTTTCACTGTCTGACTTATTTTTCATCAGCGAGTACTTTCTGCACTAGGATTAAATTTAAAAGCTTGAGAAAAGTTTGAAGAGGTCATAATTTTTACTTTGTCATCTAAGTGCTTAAGATTGTGGTTTGATTTTAATTATAGTATCAAACGTACACTGATACCAAGATTAGCTGAGCCTCAATATAATTAACTGATTTTAGGTTCATCTAAATTAAGCTCTTTACACATAATGATAATCTGTTGATGCTCTTTTTTGCTTGTTTAAAAGCCTCTAATGCTTCAATTTCTTTAGTACAATTGTCTTTGCACACTCAAAGTGTCTTTGGAAAGAAAAATGGTCTGTGCAGGGAAAGACTAGTGAAAAAAAGGTTTGATAAATCTATAAAATTGAGTTTAAGTATATCAGCTAGTGCCAGAACAGTAAGCTAATTGGTCTATAGTAGCAGTTATTAGCTTTAATCAATGTTTGACCATATAAATATATAATGGTTACTGAAAGTAACCTGAAATGTCTTTCTTTTTCACTTGTAGTATTACCTTGTCATTTTTAATAGCCACAGCAAGTTTTACAAAGAAACACTATTTTCTTCCTGACTGAAAACTGTTCCCATTCATAAACATGAATAATCAGTTTTCAGGCATAATCCACACACCATGTGCTACTTAAGCTGCAGTTTCATCGTGTCACATACAACAAACAGGGTCATACCATGCTTGTAGGAAAAAAAAAATATCAGATAGCCATCTGATACTGATCTTTCCTCTGAAATGACTGTAGCTCCACGCTTTAGCACAATATAAAGTGAATTCTGTATAATAGCCTTTACATAGTGAATGAAACTGTTTTTTGACATAAATCACTCCAGCCTTAGAGAGCTCATCAAAATTGCCAACTGATCCTTTTGTGTCTTGGAGGTTGGATAAACCCAGAGTTTTGATTGTAGAAAGAATCTTTTTCAATAAAAGTTGCGTAGTATCTATAACATTTTAAATACATATTATGATGTATTCTATATCTCATATTTCATAGGTATCTGTATTACACATATTTGAATGTGTCTAGTATTTTTCATTATATTCTTTAAATTGTCAGGAGTATTGTACTTCTCTCTTACCTAGCAACACAAAGGATTGTAAAGGCTAGAAGTAACTCCCCACTGCAAACCTCTCTAAGCAAAATGTCTGTTGCTGTTCTTCACCATTACCAGCTAATGTCAGTCATTATTATTGATACCAAATTTTATTAAATGTCCCATAAAGGAAACCTGCATGATAAAAATGCAGTGAGTGTGCTACTGCCTGAATAAGAAATTGACTGGAAAGATGCATCTGTGAGCTATCCAAGTAGTGACAGCTTGCAGAAAGCTGTAAAACTGTCATACAGAAGTTGGGGCTTTCTCCTGTCACATGCCATGGGACATACTTGACATGATAGGTCCTGTAGATGAGTAACTGATGAGCTTTTTGTTACATGGTTGGTAGAGGCTATGCTGCATTTCTACAGTGAGCAGCTGGGAATGCTTCTGTCAATATGTGGCCAGTCTTTGTGGGTTGGTGCTGTCCAAGACCGTTTTTGACCCCAGTCGCATCACCCAAACAGCTGAAAGTCATTTAGCAATGTGCTGTTTTGCATTCAGAAACTAAAATCTTAAAGTGTTTTTGTGTGTCTGTGTGTAAACAATACAAACCAAGCTACATCAAAAAGTATGTACTTTGCTAACTGAAAAGCAGTGATAATCTAATGGAAGACTAAGCAAAATCAAAGGTATCTCAGTGGGCACCAAAATTCTTTCCTAACTTGCAGCATCTAATATATCTAGAACCTAGTGAAGATTTTACATAAATTATGTAATTACGTAAATTTAGATTTAAATTCAACCTGAATTGAATAGCTTTTGTATCAGTTTAAGAGTTCTGCTTTTATATCTTTCAAACTGTCGCATGGCACTGCTTTTCATTAATTATATTTTGACAGAAAAAATTCTTGCCTTTTTTTTTTCAGACTGAAGAAAAAATGGGCCTCTCTGAAGAGCAGCTTAAGACCCTTCTGGAAGAATGTATGCAGTCTCAGAGAACAATGAGCAACGTTACCATGCCAAAGTCTCAGGAATCTCTTTCTTGTGGATTAAGTCCCCCTTGTTACACAAGTCAAGACTCCACTCTTCACTCCACATCTACTCTTTCCAAAATGTTTGTTGAAGACCATATTGTAGGGATGTTAACGGCTCAGGAAAAGACTGAAGTTGAAGACAAAAGCTTATGTGTTAAGGCAGAGAGTGAAATCCCTGGCTACTATCTCGGCAAAGCATTGGCTGATAGTCACTTATCAAAGGATTCACTGGCCCAAACAGAGGAACTTGATGACCTAGAAGGTTTACAGAAGATGGGAGATAAGACTATTACTGAAGGTTACTTTATGTCAAGAGCACTCAACAGAAAAAGGTTGAAGAAACCTTCTTTCTTGGGTGAACCATTATATTGCATCAGCTTGAACAATGAACCATCCAGGGAGGCTGACATTCTCAGCATACCACTGCAAACCAAAGGAGGTGAGACTCTTAACAGCCCTTTAGAATAGCCTTTTGATTATGATGAAAAAAACCAAGCAGGTTCTCACCAGAGGTATGCAGCAATACACACTGATTATTATGGTGGGGCAAAGATGTGCTTTTCTAAAACATAAAACTGTGCCAAAGATAATACACACAAAATAACGGAATGTTTATTAAAATTCTTGCCCTGACATAACTGACTATAAGGCTACGACTCTTACGAAAGATAAGATTTATGTTGATTAATTCTGTCAACTGAAAAATAGTGTTGACAACACATATGGATTATCTTTTTGGTAGCAGAAAGTTGTATTCACTGTTCTGTGGAGAGCAAATACTCTCTGTAGTTGGTATAACATGTCACACAAAAATCCAAGTGTTTCTGGGATGTTTTTAATAAGGTAAACTTGGTAGTATAAACACAAACATGACCTAACTATATTAAAAATAAAAAATCACTTTCAGGCAGTTCAATTTTATGCATAGAATATAACAAAACAAAGACATACTGTATAATTTCTATAAATTACTTCTAGATCAGTAAAAGAAAGAAAATACTTTGTCCAGCAAAAAATTAAACTCACTCTATCTAGTATTATTAAAATATTTTGGAAATGTCTCTTAATTTTTATGTCTTTTACTTCAAAGCAATTATATAGTGATATTGCAATCTAAATATACATTTAGATTTTTAGTCTAAGACCACTTCTCTATCTGGAAAGCAAACTGTAAAATAAGTCAGATTTTAGGTAGGTCCATCTACATCTTTCATTTCTTTCATAAAAGTGTTAACAGTATGAAGTTGTTTGTGATTCAAGTGCTATAGTTGAATAGTATTAGAAATCAGAAAGTTTTGCTAGATTTGTCAAGGTAGATATTTATTATACTGGTAGTTACTTGTGAATTTGGATAAACATTTTTTGCATACATTGGAAATTTAGAAGGACATTCGAATACCTCATAACTGTGTTAGCATTTTGTATGTTCACAACCGTTTCTTTGATTGTTTGTAATTACTCTTTCTGCAGTGAAGGGACTGTAAATATTTTTTAAAGTGATTCCACCTATCAGAAATCAAGAAGGCTTATTATTACTGGTTTTATGCTGCCAAACTTGGTATCCAGACTTACTTGCCATATTAGCCCATTATGAGATTTGGGCCATAATTTGCAAGAGGAAGAAAATAGAAATACAATAGCTGTAGAAAAGGTTGGGTTTTGTTGTGGGTTTTTTTTTGGTAGGTTACTTTTCAGTTAACTTCACAAGCCAGCTTTGCCCTTCGTATAGCTACAGGCATCAGAAGAGTGAAGCAAAGGAAGAAGGAGGTGGTTGGCCCCAGAGGAGAGAGGGGTGGTAGCAGCAGTGACAACAAACACCACAGGGAACCAGCTCTGCCAGGGGCAACCTGATCTCAGGCAGGATTAACACGACTGCATACTACACTACCGGTCTTCTTCAGCACCCACCACTGAGAAATACTCAAGTTTAACTTGCTGCCTTCACATGAATTTAAGTTCTTCTTTAGTTTGCATAGGTGTAGTACAGTCAGAGCCAAGTGTGACACAGCCACAACTACCATCTCCCCTTATTAGTGTACTTTAAGGTGGGATGTGTTAAATCAAGCAGAACACCATGCGCTGGAACCACTATGTAGTGAAGTGAGCAGAGAACTGTTTATACCTGTTGCAGTAGACATAGTTACTATGAGGTAATTTTATTGCCCAAGAGAGAACGAAGCTTTCAGCTATTACATAAATTTCCATATGGGACATCTCATGGTAAAAGTCTTTAAGTGTTCAATTATTAATTTAAATATCTTTGAGTCATAATCATGTGTCGTGTCAGAGCAATGCAACAGGGTGTTTCGATTATCCATTTTCAGTAATGGCCAAGTAATATTCATCCATATAGCACTCAGATCTGTATAGTTAACAAGCATCTTGGTTTTATGGTAATTTTGCTTAGCAGATATTTTTTTGGGAGGGAAAGTGTTCTGAATTTACAGAGTCTCTGCATCTTTTAATTTTACTTAAAAACTAAAACTGAAACCAAGGGTATCATTACAGATACCTTAACCCATCAATCTTTGAGTCTTTGTGTCTAATTTTTTAAAATGGTGTGAACAGTTCATCATTAGACACAATAAAAATAAGTGCAAAATGTACAGCGTAAGCCAGAAAACCATGATACTTTCCATGGAATTAATTTGTTTCTCCCAAAGGTAACTCAGTTCTGTCTTAAGCAGTTATTCCTGGCCATAAGCAGAAGGTTCTGATTTTTATCAAATTTGTGAAGTTGCCTAATGTACTCTGTAGGTAAGCTTGTTTGTGCAGACATGATTAGATCTGCTATTTAGTTGAGCTTTGTTATGGTCTTTGTTTTAAAGGACATTTAAGCATACATGCATAATCTTCTGTAAACAGTTTGATTTTCTGCTACATGTATTTAAACTCTCTGTAGTGCTGTGTAAGCAAGCAAAACTGGGTTTGTGTGAAACTGGTTTAGCAGAATTTTGGTTTCACAGTCATTATGGTACTGTATTCGGTGATACAGATTTGCTGTAATACATTATTTAAGGAAAGTATAATTATTAATATCATTCATATATGTATTTTATATTAATTCATATATATATGTATATATATATGAAGGAAACTTGTCTGCTTCTAGAGATAAGTAATTCTTTCTTCTTTAAAGAAGCAGCAATTTGCATCAGTTAAATGCATGTAAAATATACGTGTTGTTTACTGAGATAAAGAGAATCCAGATTTACCCACATACAGATATAAAAAAGTTGTTATTTTTCAGTTGTATGAACCAATTGGTAATTATTTCCAGCTCTTTTTTTTTTTCTTTTTCTTTGCTACATGAGGTTTTAAGTAGTTCTATCACTGTTGCTTTTTCCTCTTGCAAGGAACATTGTGCTTGCAGCAGTTCAATGTGTGCTTCTTTTCTATTTTACAGATGATCTGAAGACTGAAAGTTGAGGGGATATTGATAATGTGCCTCCTTATACAATGCTTTTTTTCTGAAAGTCTGGTTTTCAGACCCTCTGAAGGCAATGAATTATAATTGAAAACTATTCCATGAGATGTTTTATTTTCAAGAGATAATTGTTATTATCATTATAATATATTCTTGCATTTTGATTTCAAAATAAAATCTTGCACTTCACTGATTTTCCTGGGAGTGTTCTATCTAATAAATAAATGTACACACACTTTTGTGTAGCTGGGTGTCTGATAGACATGCATGTCTTTGTTAATGAAAAATATAAAATACAACTTTCAAAGTCCTGTTTCTACTGATGAGATTTTATTAGAAAGGCTGTAACATGTATATAACCTTTTTATCTTTTCTCCTTTATATGCAATCTACTTTTGTAATGAACTTAGCAAGACCCTGACCTCTGGTATCCCAGTACAGTGTGCTGGGGGTTGCAGCCTGTCTGACTGCTGAGCCCTGACTCAGTGAAGAACCCAAATAGGCACCAGGTCTTCTGTCCCCACACTGTCTGCTGAACTGCTAGTTGGATTGAAGGTTAAGACTTGCACAAGTCCTCTGCTGGATCAGAACATCAGCACCAGTCTGCTCAGCTCTGTCCGATGCCTGATGCTGCAAAGAGTGTAACCGTATAACAAACAATCTTACTCTCTGGCTGAGACGTGTGACTGAGTGATGAAAGGTGGCAGTCCCTCCTGAAGGCTTGGTGTGAATAAAAGGGAAGGGGTGCAGAAGTTTGCCCTTGGAGTTACTGGTTTGTGAAACCTTATAGTAATGGCTAGCTGGGGGGAGGGTAATACAGCTGGTTTGTATTGGAAAGAATCATAAAAAATAGTTACAAGCTTTTGCTTGTCTACTCTTTAACTACTATGTCTCCTGAATTTTCTGCTTACTAAGAAGATGGTTAGTTTTTCGTTTCAGGCACTCTAGTGTCAGAATAAGAAGACATTATTAAAAAAAATACGGTTCCTTTCAAATTTCTGGAAGAGATATTCCAGCAAAGAAAACTCAATAGATTTTCCACTGACAAGCTCTCATTTGCAAACTATTTCTCAGTAGCTATATACTACCCATTTAACATTCAACAAGAAAATTTGTATGGATACAATCTTGAGTGTAGAATGGCTGTGTTATGGCATAGGGCTTACTTGAACTCATCTGAATGTTTAAGTTAATGTACAGATTGGCCCAGATTTTATTATTCTTTACAGAGTTGCCAGTCTGAGTGGATGTACCCTCCTGAGGAAGCAGTAACTGTGTTGATGTAATGGAGATAAGAATCTAACCTAATTTTGTTTAACCAAAACTGTAAGCAGGACATTATATTTGTGAAAAGCAGGTCCCATTTATTGTTTTGTTATCTGATATTTTTACTTATTTTGAAACAACAACAAATAACCCATGGATACTGGGCATTCTGCATAGTCCCGTTGCTCTGTGTAGGATTACTGTGAGCACATTTCATGGAGCTTTGCAAGTCTCACCTGGATGTATTTCTTAAAAATATTTAGCCTGTGTCATACTTTCTTTACCATAAAGATAATCAAAGCAATACTGGTAAGTTTCTTCAAGAGTGGTTTCTGTATATGTATGTTATTCATACGGGACTGTGCACTGGCAGTGATCTTTCCACAGTCCAGTTATTTTCAAATGCAATTCATGTTTTATAAAGTCCTTCTCGGAAACAGTGTTAAATTGCTCAGTTTTTGAGGAAAATTAAGTTCTGTTTCAGGTTTTATGTAGACTATCTAAAACGTATACAAAGAGAAATATTTAATTCTTACTTTTCTGGTAGATTTAGCTATCTTAAATCTCTCCCTTGAGAGGTTTTTAATAAAAGCTCATTTTAATAAAATTTAATTAAATTTTAATTAAATTTTCCTAGCACCCTCAAGGAAGAGCCTGTCACTAAGTAAGCCTTATAACATTCCTGAAGCCTCGAACACAAGTTTTTATTCACACCTGGTGTTTCAGGGATAAGCAGGCAAGTTAGAATGACTATTGACTTGAAGTGTATATTCAA